ATTACAGGCATGAGCCACCATGCCTGGCCTTTCTTTATTTTCTTTTTTAGTACCAAACTCTCTTTTCCTTCTGGACTCTCATAACATGAATATTAGACCATTTGGTATTATTCAGTAGTATCCTGAGGATCTGTTCATTTTTTCCCCTTTAGTCATTTTTTAATGTTTTTCATATTGGATAGTTTCTATTGACTTATCCTCAAATTTACTGACTTTTCTCTATATATCAGATCTGACCTCTGTGTACATCACCCAGTAACCAGTCTTGGTCTTGGGTAGTGGTCTGTACTGCAGTTCAGTTCTTAAAGCATTTGACAAGTTGTTTACGGTCACATCCCGGCATGCAAAGCTTTCATACAAAGGGATTCATACTCAAATTTATAGGATCACTCTGTTGAGCTCCCTTCTTTCTGTGATATCCCTGACATTTTCTAGCTCTCTGAAACCCCCTTCCCAGTCTTCTGGCCAGAAAGTCAAAGCTTTAGCTTTTCCTCTCTGCCCTGCACTCGCCACAATTGCATTTACAGGGCAAGTGGTGAGAGTACAGAGATGTAAAAACTAACAGTTATTTGCCCTATACTCTTGGAAACACAATTTCTCTAGTCAGAGAGGATTTTTAGGGACCTGCTTAGCTGTTACTGCCACTGCCATTGCTTGTGGATTGCTTGAAGACCCTAATGTGATGCTATATCAAATTCATGTCCTCTTCTTCTCCTAGCTGCTCCTTACTTTTTAGAGTCCTCAGAATGCTGCCCCATGCACTCTCTCGGTGGTTTATAATTGCATTCAGTGGAGAAACAGGGTGAAGTGTCCTGTTTCTCTTAAGGAAGAATCCTTAAGAGGCTGTGGCTCTCCAGACTGAGGCTCCCTTCCTTCCAACATATTTGTTTATGTGTTCAATTCTATTATATATATAGAGAGAGTTTGTGAATCCATACTCTTGTGAGAAACAAGTTTAGCAACTAGAGTACAGTATTTGTGTACAGGTCTTTTTTTCTTTGTATTACAGCATGAAGTCAGAAATACTATTTCCAAAACTACTAGGGACAGCTCCCTTCATGCCTGTCAGTGTGTTTGTATATGCCATTCATTTGTAATATAGTTGATCCATTTGGTAAGAGAGTGTTCTAAAGGTTGGTTTTCATATTTCTGAGATACCCTGAAATACCAGCATTCTCTGCCATGATTTTGTCTTTGGTCTGTTTTCTGGGTCTGACAGCCTGCAGAGTTGTACTTCAGTGTTAATTATTTCTTCCACTTACCACCCTTCGCTTTGATCCCACTCAGCAAACAACTGTTTCAGTGTTCAAATGAAAATATAGTACAGTGACATGGTGTTTGAAACCAAATTGTTTTATCATGTCCTTCAGTTTCATGTTACTCGGTTGTCCATGACAAGCCATGGTTTCTGGTATTTTTGAACTTGTTTGTCAGTCTTTGCAGTGCAGAAAGTGGTTGAGTATTCAACTGTGTTTTGTTTTTGTTTTTTTGTTTTTCTATCTTACATGCATACTGTAAGCCAACAGCAATTAAGATTGAAGAATGTCATTCCTCCTCTGCACCAGGAAGGCGTGAGATAGAAAGGCTGTTCATTTAGAATTAAAGTTCACCTTTAGTTGGATTAGTGCTTTTCATTAAAGGAGTAAAGTGTCTTTTATCAGCATAGATTAAAATGGTATCAAGCACCTAAGCCGGAAACACAGCCGGCAAGCTGAAGCACTTTCTGGCTTTTCTCAATTCATAGCTTCACAGCTTGAATTCTCTTTTAGTATTTGAAGTACTGTGTTGTGGAGTTCAAAAATATCGTGGTAGCAACAGAATTCAGAATGGCATGCAGCCTCTCCTTTAAGGTGATTATGGCTACAGTGGAATAAAGGATTTGTTTTGTTAGAAAGATTTAGGCTTGGTTATTGAATATTAACAATAGTGATTCTGGGAGGTGGACATTACCCAGAATGCTGAAGTTGTTCTTTGAACTATTTCTATTTGATTCTTACGATAGAAATAATCCTAAGTGACTTTTGATCCTTTTTGGATCCCTTGATCCAAAGCATCATTGACTCCAAAATTACTAAAATGATTTAGAATATCACTGGGAAGATCTAGGAGAAATAAATCTCTCATAGTGTAGAATGATATATAATTTTATTAAGTTATTGATGTAAAAGCAGTCCAGCAGTGAATCAAAATTTGAGACAGGGCATTTCCCATTAATTGATGGAGATAATAAAAGTTAATATGGACGATAGAGACTCTGAAACTTATCTTACCCATTTCCCCTCCCCTATAAAAGGAAGGTGTCATTGCAAGTCTTTAGAGAGTTATTTTTTGAGAGGAGAGGGCAGTATATGAAGAAACATAAATTCATTCTATAAGCATTTTTAAAACTGTAAATTTTGCTAGGGCTTTGCAGCTGATACAAAAGATACGAAAATTTTGCTAGGGCTTTGCAGTTGATAGTATCAAGGAATTCAAGGGCAAGAATGCAGCAAAGGACTAAAACAAGGAACCGAAAAGATGGAAGATGATTCCACATATTCATTCTTGAGCCAATCAACTGTGTCTGGAGAGTTGAAGCATTTAGTATTAAATGTTGTGTCTGAGGGTAAGAGTGACATTTAATGGTTGTATCAGTCTGTTCTTGCATTTCTATAAAGAAATACTTGAGACTTAAGTAATTTATTTGAGAAAGAGGTTTAATTGGTTCACGGATCTGTGGCAGTATAGGAAGCATAGAAGCATCAGTTTCTGGGGAGGCCTCAGGAAACTTAAAATCATGGCAGAAGGCAAAGGGTAGTGAGGCATCTCACATGGCTGGAGCAGGAGGAAGAGAGAGAGGGGAGAGGTGCTGCACACTTTTAAACAACCAGATCTCATTAGAACTCACTCACTGTCCCAGCCACAGAGGGTGATGCTAAACCATTCATGAGAAACCGCCCTCATGATCCAGTCACCTCCCACCCGACCCCACGTCCAACACTGGGGATCACAATTCTGTGTGAGATTAGGGCAAGGACTCAGATCCATACCCTATCAATGGTTAAAGGGTAAACTATACAGAACTCGCAAAAGCTGTGTTTTACAATACCATGTTTAAGTTTCTAGCTTATAATAATTAAAGCGTCTAATGGTGTGTGGCCATCAGGAAGATTACAAAATTTATCAAACTTGCAAATATAAGTTTTTTAACCATTTTTGTTCATAAGCTTGTCAAACCGTTTTAACAATTTTCCTCCAGGTGGCTGCTCTATATCTTAAAGATCACTGCATTTTTAATGGCATTATATTTTTTAAAAAGATGATTTCCTTTTCCTCTTACATAATCTACCACCATTTTTAGAACTCTCCGTATAATACACTTTCCCTCCAGACATAGTCATATTTTTTCATGCACTTTTACTTAAATTGCATAGGATCCCTTTCTTGCCCTTTATTCATTGTGTGTTGGAAGTTTTTTGAGACCTAAGAAGTTTTAACTTTCAGATTTAGAAAATATAGCTTTAATATACCCATAAATGATGTGGCATTTTTTGAAAGGTCACATTTTTTATGGTTGGAAGGAAAATTGGAAATATTTGTGAGTCATTTTAGTTGTCCGAGTTTAATGCCAGTTTTTCTCTCCAAGGTTAGATGCTTAATTTAAACACAGAGTATCACTTATCTTCACGTGTCTGATTTTGATTTTTGTCATGTGACAGAATATAATAATACAGTCCCTTGGAGGAGAAATTTTAATGGGCATTTGTGGGTGAATAAGCATGTTGCTGCCATCAGCTTTTCTGTCCATGCCTCTGATAGTAGTGATATTGCACCAGACCTCAGCTCCCTCAGACATCACCATTGCAATCATTTCACAATTGAACTCTCAATTTCCATGTCAAACTCAGGGAGGCAGACATTCCTGGTTCTCTGTCATTTATTAACAGAATGATTTGGGGCTGGTTACCTGACCTCTTTGAACTTAAGTTTTTCTCATCTATAAATTTGGGAAGAATAACTTATATACCTGTTGACTGTTAAACACTTAATATGTTTCCTGGAAAATAATTGCTGCTCAGTATATGGTAGCTACTGAGCATACTTAATGATGTAGGTGTTTCCTTTGCAATATAACTTCCCCAGTGAAAAGTCCCTATCTTAGTTCATTTGATATCTCTTTTATTGCTTTGCAGTGCAGATGTATATGGCTCTCAAAAGTTGGAGATCCCAGAAACTACCATGGGAAGTTGGGACAACGAGAGTAAAACAAATTTAGGAATAGAATGGATTAAAATTTCTTGGGTCTCAAAAAACTTCCAACACACAGTAGCATGAATAAAGGGAAAGAAAGGGATCCTATGCAATTTAAGTAAAAGTGCATGAAAAAATATGACTGTGTCTGGAGGGAAAGTGTATTATACAGAGAGTTCTAAAAATGGTGGTAGATTATGTAAGAGGAAAAGGAAATCATCTTTTTAAAAAATATAATGCCATTAAAAATGCAGTGATCTTTAAGATATAGAGCAGTTTTCCTGGAGGAAAATTGTTAAAATGGTTTGACAAACTTATGAATACAAATGGTTGAAAAACTTATATTTGCAAGTTTGAGAAATTTTGTAACCTTCCTGAAGGTTACAAAGGTTAACAAGCTCATTAGCTAGTCAAGTAATATTAAATTGGTGGAGTTGATTGAATTGTGAAAACAAGTAGAGGTGGAAGAGGAATTTCTATAGAAAAAGAAAATGGTAGTAATACATTTGAAGATGTATATGGAGATGTACAGTTGAAATACATGAAGTAGAAAATGGAAACTGAAAGAACAGATCTGTATATAGTAGAGTGAAGCATAAGTTGAGCCAGAATTTCTGTCATGTGTGTCTTTTACCTTAGATCCTGGATTCCTATTTTAATGTCAATAAAATAATATAATTTTTAAGAATAGGAAAATAATCCTGCTTTGCCTGTTAGCCAGGCCATTAGTCAAACATCCTATTTTCTCTTTCAGACTCTAGAATCAAAGAAAGAGGCTGGGCGCGGTGGCTCACGCCTGTAATCCCAGCACTTTGGGAGGCTAAGGCGGGCAGATCACGAGGTCAGGAGATCAAGACTATCCTGGCTCACATGGTGAAACCCCATCTCTACTAAAAATACCAAAAACTAGCCAGGTGTGGTGGTGGGTGCCTGTGATGCCAGCAACTCGGGAGGCTGAGGCAAGAGAATTGCTTGAACCTGGGAGGCAGAGGTTGCAGTGAGCCGAGATCACACCACTGCACTCCAGCCTGAGCGACAGAACAAGATTCTGTCTTAAAACAAACAAAGAAACAAACAAACAGAATTAAAACTGGAGAAAATTCAGAGAAGAGCAGTAGAAATAATCTTATTTATTAAAAAGAAGGCCCATGAATGAGAAAGGGTAAAGGAGTTGTGAATCTTTAATTTGAAGAAAAGTTTAAGAGACCACTTTCCTGTCTGAATATGTAAAAAAATTGTCATGAAAAAAAGGCTAAACAACTGTTTTCCTTCTCACAAAGAATTGAAGAAAGAGAAACAGTTGAAGAGCTACTTAGATTAGATGAAAAGACGTATTTCTTGCAAAAGAGAAATCCATAGGAGTCCGACTTACTGTTCAACATACCTTTGTTTGGCTGTGTTCTTAGGAGGTAGGGTACGAGCCTTCACTAAACATTTGTTGACTTACAGTCTTGGACACAAAATTAGCACTCAGCCTCAAAATTAGCATTTTATCTCTCACTTTTCTTTATTTCTTGGTTCTTTTATGCACATTACTTTCTCTTTTGTGTCTCCAACCCCTGTTTCTCTGTTCTAAGTTATAAGGTAGTACAGAGCACAAAACAAATTCTTGTGGCCACTAAGAGACTTTCCAGGAACAGATCAGTTAGCAGACTATGGAGGAAGATCTTTTCCCACAATGTTTATGAAAACACTTGGAATCACCATTTACCTCAAAAGATAATTTTTACTTAAAAATGGTAGGACCTTTCTTAAAGAAATCTTCCCAGTAGTTAATGGGAAATGTCTCCAAATAAAATTTTGTGCCACAGTGATGGTTTAGTAAATTGGTTAACTGTGTTTCCTGTCATTAATGTGGAAAAAATATATATTTTTTAAGTGGGAGCTGCTGAGTTAATAGGATTTAAAAGCTAAGTATATAGAAAATACTAAGCACATTTATAGTGAAATAGTTAAGTGAGTAATAACAAATTAACATATGCCCAACCCATTGAGATAAAAATAGTGGAGGGGAGGAGCCAAGTGATCATTTGGTTGACCCTTTACTCAATCACAAACACTAAATTGGGACTGGTACAGAATTTTAAGTGCCTTTTTCTTGGGCCTTACTGTTGTGATCTTTCTTTAGAACAGTTTGATATACCCTTTGGAGGGCTGGCCTCTGTGGTTGTTGTCTGTGCCAAATTACAACACAGAACAAGGGACTGTTCTGTTTCATTTACTGAGAATAGTGCTTAATAAGTACTATTTGACAACATGCTGAATTAAGAGAATGTTATAAGGATGTTTCACAAAGGAAAGTGAGTAAAACATCTGATGTTCACAAGTTCTATTTATATGTATGTTGATAGCAATATAAAGCCATGCTTAAAGCTTTATTTTTAAAATTTTATTTAATACATGTGAATATGTATGCTAAGAGAAAATGACCTCATCTGGTTCCAAATATATACAGTATCTTGATATAGTTAATGCTATTTCAGAATGCAGTTTCTTTTTTGTTGTTTGTTTGTTTTTTGCCTTGTTGGTTTGAAATATATTAGACCCTGGTAAATTGATTTATGTTAACCAAAACACATGCAGTACTGATTTGTAACCTGGGACATAGTCATGATTCTTTCCTTTCTCTTGCCTTTGACTTTTATCTTATCCTAATATCTTATCTTACTTTATCATCATAAGTAACTATGGTTTCCTTTCTAAAAATGGAATCTCAAGTGGAAATTATACTGAGTGATCATACATTTATGTAACTGTGTTTGCACAGGTATAAAAAACATCAGTGAGATTTAATATCCAATGGAGAAATAACTGTCAAAAATTTTTATGAAAGTTCTATTTATACTTCAGTGTCACAGGCTGAGCATTTATGTTGAGTTTAATTCATCATAGATTTTAGCAGATGGAAGTACTCCTGTGAGACATTTGCTTTTTTTTTTTTTCTTCCCAGCATGATCTGAGCTCACTGCAGCCTCTATGTCCTGGGCTCAAGCGATCCTCTCACCCCAGCCTCTTGAGGAGCTGGGACCACAGGCATGTACCACCACACCCAGCTAATTTGTAAATTTTTTTGTAGAGACAGGGTCTCCCTATGTTGCCCAGGTACGTCTCAGACTCTTGGGCTCAAGTGATCCTCCCACTTCAGCCTCCCAAAGTGCTAGGATTACAGGTGTGAGCCACCATGCCCAGCTCCATTTCTTAATAGACATCTATACTCCATAATCAGGTCTAACATATGAAATAATTAACTTGTGTGTTGAAGTATAAAATACTATAATTTGTCATTTAAAGGAATGTAAGATTTAGATGATCCTTAATGCTCCTTGCAACTTAAAGATTCTGCACCTCACTGACATTAAGCTTGTGTGAGACCTGTAGTCTGTTTGAATACATAAGCAGCTACCTGTGTCACACAGTTGTAAGGTGGTATTATACTTGTGATGATTTTAAAGAGCTATTTCTATTTTGTCACTGACAACAGAGTCTAAGAAAAACATGAATTATTGCATAATCAAATAAGACCTAATATCCCTTTCTTTTTCTTACCTTGGAGCTGGTATAATTCTCTTGAACAGAGCAAAGGCCAGCATCAAAACAAGAGAAAGATTTAAGGATAAACAGAATAATGAAGTCATGACTAGTTTTCACATTCACATGTGAATGTATTTTTCAGTGCAAACTAAAATACAGTGTAAACTAATACCTATTTTATATTTTATTTTATTAATATCTGGCACTCGTGCAACATTTATGATTTGCAGAATGCTCTCACTGGTGTTCTCATTTAATTCTCACAACAGTTTCTGAAAGAAGTACTGTTCTCACATTGCAGATGAGAAGACTGCCCGCGAGCAGTTTAATCAGGAGCACACCGCTAGTGGCCCACTGGGATTCTAACTCTGCCCTTGGACTTCAAAGCTGGCCCTTCTCTCTGTTGCTTCACTGTGTTCCCCTGGGCTGGGTTTGCTTTGATATTACATTGAGATACACAATTTAGGTCAATGTGTATGTGCTCATATGAAATTTGAGTATCTCATTTATTTTATAGAATAGGCGATTTAGTTTTCCCTCTCAGATGGTGTAGTGTTTGAGACCAAGAAGCAGGAGGCCGAGTTCTAGTCTTGCTATTGCCACTGACTGATAAGGGGCCTTGTACATATTTCCTTAATTATAAAAGGAAAGCACTTGACCTTTAGTTTCTCCAAGCAACCTTCTAGTTCTAAAATTCTGTGATTCCAAATTTGTTCTTGTTCCACTCAAAATTGTTGCTTTAAAAAACTCCAACCTCATATGGTTAGCCCAAATTTTTACATATGTTGTTTATAATTGTCTAAGTCAGGAATTTTTAGCCTTAAAGTTTTAGATAGTGTGGTAATAAAATCCCTTTGTAATGATACAAGAAAACCTTTCTTCCAAAAAATTCTATTCTGTAATAAATAGTGTTCCTTAGTAAAGCTCTCATCCTGAATTTGGAGAATGGAAAATGACAGCATAATGCCAGTTACACAGGAAACTTAATCCAGGAAACATACATTAAGCATCATTATTAAGTACTGGAGTTGCTAAGACCTTGAGCTCTCAGGCTAGTGTGGAAGGCAGACCTACAAATACGAAATGCCACTGCCGTTACAAGAACCCTGGGGAAGAGGTGTCCCAGGGCCAAGGGAGTGAAGGGAAGGAATCAGTTCCATCTATGGGATGGAAGATGGAAGGCATGCCAGCAAAGGCTTCACTGGGAATGGGAATTAGAAGTCGGAGAAAGGATAATTTTAGGCAGAGGGAAGTGTGTACAGAGGGGCAGAAGCTTTAAGGTTTGTACTTTGAGAACCTCAGGTAGTTTGTTTGTATCACCTGCTGGAAGAGGATGATGTGCTGGAAAGGTAACTTGTGTCTAGCTTGGTAAGGTTTTATGTGGATTTGGGAATATCCTAGGCATTAAGGAGACTGTTAAGAAGGGAAGGAAAAACAGATCTCTTGCAAATATGACAGAGGAGACTCTCCCATTTCTAGCTTGGGTAACTATAGGGGAAGGGCTTTCTAGGCAACAGAATAAGCGTGAGAAAAGAAAGCATGGAGGCCTGAGATAGCCCCTGGAGTTGTGCTGGTCTTTATCTGTGCACCTTTCTTTGATTCTGCCTTCTGGTATACATTACCAGTGTTACTGCTGTGGCTGGGTCCTAAAGGGTTTCATGCTGGACCCCATGGTGTTTGGACTTTTTTCTTAGAGTAGTAAAGAGCCATTGAAGGTTTCAAAGCAGGAGAATGATGTCAGCAGATTGGCATTAGGAAGGTTCTCATAGCTCCAGAATGGGAACCAGTTTAGATGGGTATTAGAATGTAATCAGCTGGGAGCTGCTGGGATCCTTCTTAAGCCTAGAACAGAGGGGATGTGCAGAAGAGAATGGACCTGAGAGACAATGAGTTAGAACAATGACAATCAATTTACCCTGCTTTATTGAGTGCTTACTGTATACCAAGTGCCTGGTCCAAGTGCTTTGCATTTACACACACATTTAATCCAGCCTACAACCTTACAAAGTAGACACTATTATTATTAATATCTGCATTGTGTTGATGAGGGAAGTGGGTTAAGTAACTTACTGGGCCTGTGCTTGACAATTATGTATAACTTTAAATATTATACAACAGCTATCAGGATTAGTGAAGCTTAATATAGTTTCATTGGCCCTTTCATAATTGCCCTCCATCCGAAGGACTCTGAATGGGACTTGAGTTTATGTCCTTTCTGTATCTCCCTGGGTATATTTATAAATGTTACTTTAAATAGGTAGATCCAGCGCAGATACTGAGGAAGGAACTCCAGCTGCTGTATAAGTGAGAACAGTCTTAGGTGCCCCAAGGTTGTTGAATTC